GGGGGAGAAGAAAAAAAAAAAAAGAAAAAACCCACAACTTTCTGTAGAAGATTTGAAACTAATTTCAGGATCAAATATTTAAAAGTGATTGAACTGGGATTTTCTTTGTATATCAAACAATATAAATTAACAACCAGCACATTCAGAGGAAATTAATTTAATGATTGTCTAGAGTTATTTCTACAATGAAACTGTCATTCATACACAATAAAAAGATTACTGATGAAACCAAGTTTATTTGCAGATATGAGTTTTCATTCTTTCTTTGTGGTGAGAATTATTAAGACTGTTGTTTGATCATCTTGTGTCTAGTTAAAGCAATCATTTAAGTTTCCTTAGTGTCAAACAGTTCTCACTACAAACTACTGCAGATTCCCTTGCAGTAGTATAGAGAGGAGCAGCAGGACTTGAAAGCATCTTAAGTAATCATCCTATAAAATCGTTCCCATTCAATGATTATGTGAAATTAAAGCAAGATACTTATTTTATCCTACAGATACGAAATGCTAATGTGTTTTTTTCAGTTTCTTGAATGGCAAGCTCAAGGCAACATCCTCTACTCTAAAAAGCTTACGATTTAAGGTAACACTTTTTAAATGTGTAACACTGCCTCTTGAAAACACCATTTTAGGTAGTAAAGCTCTGTCCAGGCATTACATTTTGTTGTGATGCAGAACACAAGGTTGGTGTTCGGTACACCCTTCTAAATCTTCCACAGAAGAAAGATCATGCACTTGAAACCCATAAAAACAACCTTTCCTCTCTCCCCCTGCAAAAAAATCCCAAACAGAAAACTGGAAAGGTTCTTATAGTTTCAAATGAAACAGGGAAGAAGAAGTATTTCCCATATCCACACTTTCTCTTCTCTCAGACAGTGCCAGCCAATCTTTCATCCTAAAGCACTTTTCTATGTATTGCACTCATAAGTTTATTTCCATGCACGTGTTTTTCTCTATCTTAGTATTAGGTTGTTTACATTAACTCCAAAATATGAAAAGGGACAATAATATACTCAGTAACTAAAAGCATCCAAAGAACCATTTTTAAATGAACATCCATTTGTCTTAAGTACTTTCAGTCTCTGAACAAACACTTTAAATCAATTACAAACCTATTTCTTCTTCAGGAAGAGGAATACCTGAACACTTCATGAAGTTTCAGTGAACTGTTATAACCAAACCATTACTAGCATTATAGTAGAGGAGGCTATCCTGATAGGCTCAATGCTGCCTTTAACCAGTTTCCTGATCTTTCTGATTCCGTTTCTCCATTTGCATAAAGGCAACAACACTTCACTTCCTGCATGGGAATAGGAAGTCAAATGATGGTACTAAATTAGGAGGAGCTGTGGACCTCCTTAAGGATAGACAGGTCTTAAAAAGATCTGGATAGGGAAGTGCGCAATCACCAACGGTATGAAATTTAACAAGAGCAAGTGCCAGATTCTGCACCTAGGACTGGATAATCCTGGTTTTACAAACAAACTCGGGGATGAGAGGCAGGACAGCAACCCTGCAGAAGGAGATGTAAGTTGAATATGAGTCAACAGCATGCCCTGACAGCCAAAATGGACAACCATGACTTGGGGTGCACCAAGTATAGCATAGCTAGTCAGTTGAGGGAGGTGACTGTCCCACTCTGCACTCCACTGGAGCAACCTCACCTTGAGTACTGTGTGGTTTTGAGAGCCTCAATTTATCTAATAAGGGCATCAAACTGTTAAAAGTGTGTCCAGAGGAGGACAACCAAGACGGTGAAAGGTCTTGAGAGCAAGACTTGAAGAGCAGCTGAGGTCACTTGGTTTGTTCAGCTTGACAAAGAGATGGCTGAGGGGTGCCCTCATGGAAGTCTACACCTTCCTCAAAGGGTGCAGCAGAGGGGGAAGTGCTGATCTCCTCTTTCTGGTGACCACAAGGAAATGGAATGAGGCTGCATCAGGGGAAACTCAAGTTGAACACAAGGAAAAGGTTCTTCACTGAGAGGGTGGTTGGTCACTGGAACAGGCTCACTGGGGAAGTGGTCATGGCGCCAAGCCTGTCAGAGCTCAAGGAACATCTAGATGATGCTCTTAGTCATATGGTTTAGTTCAAGGAGCAAGGAGCTGGACTCGATCCTAAGGGTCCTTTCCAACTTGAAATAGATGCTGTGATAGGAGTGATTTGAAGCATGACTGCTGTATCAGCAGTTGGACACAAATGCTGTGTAGTGTTTATTCTACCATCTCTTTAAGGAGTGAACTGAGGGATTCCAAGTTCTCTTCAAGAAAAAAAAAAAAACAACCAAACAAAGCAATCACCAACAAAAAACACGTGTTCCTCCTTCTGCTCTCTTTATTCCTTTCTCCTCATAACATGGAAGAGCATTTTATACAATGTTTCAATTTTGTCCTTCATTTTCTTCTTTGATTCTGTATCTACAGATTTACAAATCATAATCGCTAATGACTATGACATGGCAAAATTATGTTAAGAAAAACAGAATAAAGAATAAAATGCTCTGTTCAACCAGAAATACAAATACCAATGTGAAACTGGCCATCTTTTTATTTAACCAGGTTTAAAACCATGTAGAAAATAAATATGAACTGAATATCTGCAATGCGTAATTGTGTTGAATTTAGCTGTTCAAGACTAACAGCCTTAAGAACCCTAACTTTATGGAGATGGAAAATTTTTGATTATTCAAAAGCAAATGAGAGCTACAGCAAGAAGAATCACACATGTAATAAACTCTTACCCCCTTTGGCTCAGGCACAATCAAATGAGTACACTTATTATTGAGGCTCAGCTGGCAATTCCCTCCATAAAAAGTAATCAAAGCCCACAGTGTACTTCGATCTTCAGATGAAACCTAAAAGGAAGGCAAATAAGTCTTTTAGTTCTGTGCAACCAGCTGCCTTCTGCTTGAAGAATTTTAATACAATCCATGACATACCATTTACAAGTCTGGCTAATGTATTACCTATCACTTTTAAACACCAAATTAGCATGACAGTTACAGGAAAAAAACAAACAAACAAACAAACAAACAAAACTAGAAAACAACACAAAATAAGAACACACTAAACAATCATTTTTAACCTGCACAGAGAAGAACACTCTTCACTCCTGTAAAACTCAACACTAATATATCACCTTCCAGAAGAGAAAAAAAGTAGTGATCAAGCAAGCAAGCTTTATCTTAGACAACCTGTTTAAATCCATTAAACAGTTTTAACAAGTAGATCAAATTAATAGCCTGCGTAAACACATGAAGTGTTTAATCCTAATTTATGTCACAGCAATGTCCCCCTCCCCTGCCAAGAAAGCCACACGCTTTTAAGCTGTTACCATTCACTTAGTATTACAGGAATAATTTGCTAAAATGTCTAAAGCATATATAAACATATATTCCATTACAGACTAGGCACTGATTCTGTCCATCTGCACACACTCACACCAGTCACAGACCTGTAGAGCTGGCTGTGAACACACACAAGACATTGAAGCACTACTTTTCCACTTCCTTTACTGGCACTCTTATTAAGGTTTCAGTGCGTAAGTAGATAAAACATGTTGACTAAATATTTTGTTAATGCAAAAATAGAACAGGAGCAAAGACTTTACAGTCTAGTGTACTCTCCATTTTAGAATCACCGCATGGCTGAATACAAGATAAATATTGACTGAATGTTCAGTTTGACACATTCATGCCCTCATTTTCAGTCAAAAACTGTCTTAGGTAATAGTTCACCAAACTTAAAGAAAAAAGTCAGTACAACAGAAAAACCATTCTCCCTCCTCAAAAGAACAGTAGACTGAAATACGGTTCACTTCTTACCTGAGAGAGACAGGCAGTGACTCCAAAAAAGATCTGACACGATTCTGGAGAGAAGCCATTTACACTGGAAAGCAGATGTCAAGGATGCAAATAACTTAAATGAATTTCCTGAGGGACATTAGAAGAAAGTCAAGTAGTGTGCATAGTACTTGTCAGATCTTATCAAGTATCTGACCATTCAAAAACTTTTTTTTAAAAAGCATATTGTCTCTTTCCAAGTTTTATGCATCGAGACAAAAAATGAGGTGCAAACTGGATCAGGATACCTCTAATATTATGACCAATTTTGGTAACATGATAAACTTGCCTCTTCCCCAGAACATCTCCCTCAGCCCATCTCAAGATACTCAGCTTATAGGAACCAAGTCATTATCAAGAACTTCCTTCCATTATCAAGCGCTTATCTTCCATGCTTAAAAGTAGGGGAGAATCTGAAGAAATTTTTGCTTCTCAGCAACAGACAATATAGAAGATGTTGCACAAGAAATTCAATAAACCAAGAAAGACCAAGAAAAGTGTGTTTTTCCCAAACAAAAGCTAATAGTAGGCACCTGTGAGAAAGTATAGGGGCCTTTTTTGCACACTTATTAAAAAGATAGCATCAGATGGATGACTTCATTTAATATCAGCAAGAAATATAAGCACAGTCTGAAAGACAAAAAAAAAAAAAAGAAGATGAAAATGGGTTAGAAAGCAATGCAGAAGCCAGAGGTTTCAGGAATGGCAAAGTCTGGTAACCAAATGGTACAGTTTTTGGCTGAAGATATCATTTGGAATCTAACCTGCCTTCTGCATTACCTCAAAGACTGGAAAAGTAAAAACAGTTTCCTAGCATACAGATGGTTATTAAGTCCACAGAAGACACTGAACAACAAACATATCAAGGGACAAGCTCATGCATCAAGAAAATAACAAACAGTGTAAGGAGGGACACAGCTGTAAACACCTCAGAGAAGCTGTGGTCAAAAAGGGACTCACAAATGGATGTTTATTTCATTTTTAGATTTAAGTGCTGAACTGCTCAGTCTTGGTTTTTGTCACTTTTACTGGAGTTCTTCCTTACAATACATATCTTCTTGCAAATTGGAATGACACCATAAACAGTACATCTTAGCTTAGCTCATTAAGTGCTCTGCTGAAATAATGGTTCAAACTAAGAATAATACCTTAGCAAACGTATTAAGAGATTTAAATATTTTTGTGGGTTTTATCTGCACTGATAATGGTTACTATTTTGACTGTAGAAATACTTCAGGAAAAGAAACCTTGTGGTTCAAAAAAATGAGACTAAAGCCCCTGCTTAGATGGTTAGTCTACAAGATTATGTACAACCATGATTACAGCTGTTTGAAAATATTTACACCAAATTTAATTGTGGAGGATGAATTTAGGGTTTAATAATATCTTTATCAATATCTGGGTTGAGTGCACCCTCAGTAAGTTTGCTGGGTGGGAGTGCTGATCTCCTTAAGGGTAGGAAGGTTCTACACATGGATCTGGACAGGCTGAGTAAACGGGCTGTGGCCAGTGGTATGAGGTTCAATACAGCAAGAGTGCCAGCTCCTGCACCTGGGCCACAACAACCCCATGCAACACTACAGGCTTGGGGAAGAGC